TTACACAACAGGAACAAAAAGCTGCCCCACAATGACATATGTTGTCTTCTAGAATCAGACCTCCTGACAACTCCCTATCCCAGACATGAATTAAAGCCAGCGTTTGCTTTTGAAGAATGGCCTTTCAGCAAACAAGACTTGAGACAGTGGCACCAGTAGCCGGGCCATGCGTACCTGTGTGTTAACAGGAGGTGAATCAGAAGTCTGGCCCATTCTGCATACACCACTCGCCCAGCTACAGATTTTACTGCTGGCGAGAGATCCTTGTTGCCAAGGAGTACAAACTGATCTTCAAAGGGAAATAGCGGAGCAGATGACAGAAGTGCCACACTTGTGTGAGGTACCTGCAATCCTCCTCATTAAAAGTCATCTTGCCTTTCAACAGATGACTGAAATACCAATAGCATCAAAGGATACATCTCTTCCCACTATCTGCATAGAAATTATCTGTGTCACAGCCAAAAATGACTTAAAACAGAGTTTAAAGAGGGGAGAGAGGTTGCTCCTTTTGGGGGTTCTGGATGCACTGTATGGGCAAGTGAATGGCAAGAGATCAAGACAGAAGCCAAAGTGTCCCTGAGCCTAGTCAGACATGGCCACACAAAATGTGGCATCAGAAAACAGATTTGACTGCTCTTGGGACCCAAGACCCAGGGCAGGTCTCTAATAGCAGGGAATAACCCCACTTCCTAGAGAAGCGAAAGCTGTTAACAGGTCTCAGTTTCATCCCAGTGCAAACCCAAATGTCAACCTTGCTGAACAGCAAGAACTCTTGTTTTCCACCTCCTCCTTGCTCTGTTGCTCCCTTATACTCAAGTATACTCCACAGCTAACTAACTGCGAGGCCACTTGACCTGGCTCAGTGCACTGGCGTAAATCAACAGGCCACTCCACAGATCATTTCTAATAATTTATTTTGATAACTCCATCTTTGAAACACTGGATATGATGCAAAATGATACAAAATGGACACACACATCCTTTAGTCCTTTCAACACTGCTCACAAACATACTTCATACTGATTTTCTTCCTGAAGTGTGTGGGGACACTTCCCCCCACTCCCCTCCCTCCTCCCCCCCCCCCCCCCCCCCCCCCTTTTTTTTTTTTAAAAGCATTTGAGCCCCCCCCCAAAAAAAAAAGCATTCCATACCCTTCCAAAGTATCAGTTCTTCTAGTTCTTCTTCCAGAGTTTGTCACTATTAAAAATTATTTTCATAAAGATGCGATCTTGAGAGGCTAAATTCCCACATTTCGGAAGGAACTTCATTGCCCCCAGGCAAGATTTTTACTGTACAAACATCCCGGTAGTGGAAGAAAGTTTTAGGAAAAGCTTCACCAAAAACAGTTCTTCACCAAAAGCAATATAGGAAAACACATCCATGCTCACAGATGCTTCCTGCCTTAACGAGGCAGTACACATTCATACGGAAGTCAATCATGAAGCACATGGTTAAGACACTAGGCAGTACCAATTTTTAGTCTCTAGAAGTTGTACAGCAAATTGTTTAGGACACTTGAAAGCAACCTACTTTGAAGAAAAGCACCATCGTAGCATGAAGGCTGAGATGTGATTAGGAGTAAGCACTGACTTGGACTCACCAGTGACTTCTCTTACTTGAGAACAAGTGGAGCAAGTTTACACGAGGACTGTGACTTGCCTACAGAAACACAAGTTTTAAGACGACACAGTTAAGCGAGCACCAAGCTACCGTTCACAGGTGTTAGACAGTTCCTAGCACTGCCACGGAGGCTGGCACTTGTACACAGAGCTGTTAAGACCACAGTATGAGCAACCTCAGAACCCTGGTCTGTTAGGAGTTGCCTTGCTCTACAAAAAGTCCATCCTATGTGTAATAAGCAGCAAATCCCTTTTAAAGGGTCATAATTAAAGCAGGATGAACCAATTTCCAACTGTGTGTGGAGGAACACCAAGGCTAGCGAGTACTGAAGCCCTCCCCTGCTTCTGCCTCGCTCTGGGTCCTCTTTATTCCTACAGGGAGAACTTTCAGAATTGGACTAGTTTAATTGCCAGATATGCATGTGGTGTTTCACCTCAAGGTCACGCACCTAATCTGTAGGTCACCTGCCAAAGGCAGCCTGCTCCTTGCTTACTTTGTCTCCCCTGTTGCTTGAGCCTTACAAGCAGTGGAGATCCAGGAGCTACTAAGGCAGCGCTACAGGAACAATTGCCCAAGAACTGACTCCATGTGCCCAGCTGCACTGCACTAGTTATTTTTCTACCCATGTGGCCAATATCCAGACCAATGTGAAAAAAGTGTGAAAATATTCAGGGGAAAAAAAAAATGCCCTTTGGAGCACAAGTAGTCAGAAGAACAGCTAACCTTCAGAGGCACTGAAGGGCTAATGCTCAGGGCTATTAAAAGGACAGATTTGAAGTGCAACTCTGAAGCTTGGAGATAGTAACATATCCCATTACATTGGACTTTCCACCTCCCAAGGCATTCACAAGGTAAATCCTCTCAGGAAGAAGCCAGGATAGTAAAGAGTAGTGACCTTAGAAAAAGTCAACACTGCTTTACAAGTTATGGGCATGTGAGCTCCCCATTTAGTGCAGAATCAGCACTGCATTCTCCTCCTACCAAAAAAAAAAATAATTAAGAAAAGTCAAAAAAAGTGCCTTGCAACCATTTTAATGGCCTGGAAGGCTCCAGTTCCCCTGGATGGAGTGTAAAAATGAAACTTCGGCACTTCACTCCTGCTGCGTTAGAGAGGGCTTGACCTCCAGCTTTGCAGAAGGAAAAACCTAGGAGACCAGGGCCTCCTCGGGGCTTCGAGCTAGTTACAAATTCAAGGGCTGGTTTAGTATAGCCCTACTTCACAGAACGAAAAACCAGTATAGCAAGGTCAGATTAACTCCAGATCCTTGGTTCTCAGTTTGCACTCAGGGTCCATGCTGCCACTGTGAGGGTCTTGCTGCGAGCAGTTCAGATGAAAGCTCCTGTGTCAGAGCACACTAGAAGGCAAACGACAAGGCTGTAGTGACATACAGTTCTCTCGGGCATCTCCAGCAAGTCAAACACCTCCAGAGTTTGCTCAGCTCACAGGCCAACAACTAAAACTTGAGCACGTTAACTCACAGGCTACTGCTGCTGCAGGGGTTGGTTTAGCCCCCAAGGTCACTCTCTTCACATTTCCAAGTGCCAGCAGGACAGAGGCGTGGAAAGAGCACAAACCTGGCAACCCACAGCATCCTTGTTCCCAGGGCTGCCAAGCTCTCAGCTCATCTCAGCAGGCACCACAAGCACATATGTGCAATGGGAATCTTTACAGAAGGTGCACATGGAGCTGGAGTCTTGGTGCCAAGTTACTCCCCCAGGGTCAGGCTCTGGCTCCAAACAGTCAGAAAGTTACACTTTGCTGCAAGAGAAATGGCTGGCACAGCCCACAGTGCCTTTTACTTTACACCAGGACCAGGAAAGCAGCCAAAAGCCTCTTGATTGTTTTTAGCCAGAGACAAGCAATGAGAGCACTGCCCCCTTTACCTCCTCTCATGCAGGATGGCCTCCCAGGCAGGAGGAGAAAGGAAGGAAGGGGCACTGAATGACTCAGTGGCGTTTCTACCTAGTTGCGTTTCCAGTGCAGCTGCTCCTCAGTTACTGCTGGGTTAGAGAAAGTGCAGGTGCCACTTGAGAAAACTGGTCACTGCAGAGGTGCACATGGTTTTTACCTTAAATTGGAAGGTGTAGAAAGAAGCATACATACAAACTACAGCAGATCTGCGGGAATCACAGGGAACAGCCCCAATTCTGCTGTTTTTTTTGGCACCATGCACCATCCATCCATTCATTCCTCAGGGATAACATGCAACAGTCCACAGGGGGACATTTAGCAGCTGCAGTGCACAGCTCTATGCAGGGCTAACACTTACTACGTTCAGTTACCCCCCTTAAAGCAGCCAGCTCCACAACTCCTCTCCATTTCTCTACTGTGGAGAGGTGTTCCTGAGTTCCCCAGATTGAGAAAAACAACCTACCACAAAAAATCAAAGCAAATCCACAATGACCAAGAGAGAGGAAATTGGACCACCATGTTATAGCAACCCAGATGGTCAAGGTGCCACCTATCAAAAGCAGATGGTAGCTCCCACAGACTCCCTCCTCCTCGAGGGCTGGTTTCTGTAATGCAGCAGTAACACCAGACAGAGGCTTATTTTCCCCTCTGAGCCATTGATCCATTTTACTTTGACTCCTTTTCACTTAGCATATTTACTGTATGTCTCATGTCACAATCCATTACCAGAGTAGAAACATTCTGAGTGCAGATTCACGTTGCAGAAAAGCATTATGAGATGAAAGAGGGCAGCATCTTCCCATCCACTCAGAGACAGGGAAGGAGCAACACTAGGGGTCAGGAGGGGTAAGAGGATCTTGCAAAGCCCTACAGGAACATTGCTCACAAAGGCACTTAACACAAGCACTAGCATGTGAACAGCTAGATGGAACAGAAGATAAGAACAGAGAAATGCACCAGAGAGGAGAGTGCTGCTACCTGGCTGCTAGACAGTGCGCTTCCAGCCAAAGAGCTTGGCTTCCCCTGTAGCTTATCTGTTATCTCTGTGAGAGTTCATGACATCCTCCCAATATCCCTGCATGTAGGTAGGAGCCAGAGGTTCACTAACTTTTGCAGAAACCCATGGATCCTCTGAAGTCCAGCAGCAGATTCCTCCCGATGCTGCAGTTCACACGCAACAAGAACCGAGTTCTCAAAACTTTGTGCCCTTCTTCATGCTGCAGCTCCCAATGGTGAGAACAGGCAGGGTGCTCCTCCCCAGGTCTGTGCACGTGGCTTACTCCTTTCTGCATCCTGTTGCTGATGGGGAGCACCCGGAAAGCCCCTCTACCCAGCAAAGCTTCCCAATGGGCTGCCTGCACACTGAATGGGTACAGAGGAGCGAGCCCTAGTGGAAAAAGCCTTTTCCCTGATAAAAGAAAGTCAATCAATATGATTTCTGTAAGGCAAAAAAAAAAAAAAAAAAAAAAGAAAAAAAGGTGTCACACTATGTCTTCAGCAGAGCGCTGCAGAGCGGGTGACCCCAGGCTGAAGAAATGGCTCCAGTTGCATAGGAAGCCACGGTTATAGTGGCCAGTGTCTATCACCAACCCCCCCAGGAGTCGGCGTCCTGTGTTGTCATGCAGGGCCAGGCGAGCTTCCCTCTCAGTCACGTTGTAGCTGATGTTCAACAGCTGGATAAGGAGGATGTATCCCATGCCAGCTGTTACAATGGCACAGTACCACACACAGGTGAATGACAGAGCCGAGCTGACAGCAGGGAGAAAGACAGGAAGGAAGCTATTTAGTTTGGGAGCAGCTGCTTTACAGTTACTTCCCCTGGCAATCACTATCCTTTCAAATCCCTGTCCACATCTGCCAGCGATCACACTTTGCCTCCTCCATCAGGTAATCCTAAAGAGCTTTCTCAAAATTAAAGCTTCACAGCTTGTTTAATGGCAGCTCTTCGCACCACCCCCCCTGCACAGTCCTCCCCTACCAATTCACTCTTTGCTCTTACGGTACGTTGAGGCCCAGCTCTTCAGAAGGAGACACTGCTGTTCACACTCAGACAGGAGTAACGAGGAAAGCAGAGGGACTTGCACAGAGGTACAGAGCCATGCAGATTGGCAGAGCCAGGCTCTGGGCTCGTGTCTCCCATGCTGCTCACCACCCTCCAGCCACACAGGTGATTAACAGTGTCTGTTCTGGCAGACACTGTTCTGCCAGGGTGACAACGTCACCAGGTAAGCACTGATGGGAGGAAGGGAGAGATGCCATGCTGCTCCCACACTGCCTGCTTATCACTGCAACTGAGGTAGGCATCTAAAGGGTGGATCCATACAGGGCATAGCAAATGAAAGACATAAAATCCCAGCTCCCCCAACAACCTTCTGCAGATAAACAGTGTGATCTCTCTGGCTCTCAGACTTGCCACCTTAGCGAAAGAAGGGATGCAACTCCACCTTCCAGACCTTTAAGATCACTTTGTGGTCAGGTTAGGCAGGTAGCAGAACTGGTCTGGAGCATAGAATGAAACAAAATTAAGGAGCTAAGCTGCCCATTCAGGTCCGGGTTCCCACCCCAGCTCTTTCCCAGAGAGATGCCTTACCTGTAATCAGAATAGGCCCCGGGGCAGTAGAACAAGGCCACAAGTGGAGTCCAGCCCCTGCAAACGGTGCCCAGCGTCAGTGTAATCCCGTACACGGAGGTGAGCATGAAGAGGGAGAGGGCGAGGATGAACGCTAGGTGGTTCTGCTCCCCTACACAGCTGTTAATCCTCCAAAAAGAAAAAGATCACTTCATTTAAAGGGAGAGGAAACAAAACAAACAAACAAAACAAAAAAAACACCTTTTATTTCCTCTTCCTCTCCCAAATTGTCAAAAAACCTAAATCCAAGGCTCTTATGCATGATGCAGGTAACATTCAAAGAAAGCCAAAAAGGCACAAGTCAGTAGGCCAGAAACATGGAAGCAGGGGGCTTTTTACCCCCCAAAATTCTTAGGTTTGATGTCCCCAGGCAAGATGTCCATGTCCCACTCCTCCACCTTGGTTACATGTTCATGTGCACGCAGTCAGCTTTGGGCTCCCCTTTCTCAGGGCAAATTAACTGCAGAACTGATACAGCTGCTCAGATGAAGGAAAAAATAAACAGTCCTCAAATAAAACCATTCTCACATTCCTCCTTTTAAGTCAAACACCCCAAGGATGAAAAAAAAAAAAAAAAAAAAGACACCGAACAAAAAAACAAGAGTACTCCCAACAAAATAAATAAATAAAACAATAAATAAAAACCACCGTAGACAGCCAGAGGCCATTCCGAAATACACCTCACAAGTTATCAGGTCATCCCACTTGCACCAAACAGCAGTCTTACCTTTCAAAAGGGCATCACCAAGTCACAAAAGCACTGTTTGATGGGGACTGGAAGAAGGGAGCTTAAAAAGACAGCAGATGCATAACCTCAGAAGTGCAAAACGTACCAGACACAGTGATGGTCCAGTCTTCTCACACACCTCCCACAAAGCCGGCAGTGCCCAGCTCGGGCCGGTCGGACCAGTTGACACTTGGTGCACCAGTCCTTCCTCATCCCTTCGGGCTCCTCAGCTGGCAGCCTGGAATAGCCTTTAGCCTCCCCGTTCGAAGCGCGGCCACTTGCAGCTCCCAAAGTGGTAACTCCACTAAGCCCGTTAGAGCTCCCCGTAACTTTCTTTCTTGGCAAATCCATGAGCTGGCATGATGCCTTGTCGTTGTCTGTTGGGCTGGGAAGGTAGCCAGGGTCTTTCTTGGCTCGAGATAGGGCTGCGAGCATAAGAACTAGCCCGCAGGTGAGGATAACCACTTGGGAATACTCCACACTGCCCCGAGGAACCACCTCCTGGAGGAACACGTAGTACATGTAGCCCAGGGAGAACAGCCCTAGGCTCAGGAAGAACACAGTCCGCTCCTTCCTCCTGTGCGTGAGGTAGTAGTACCAGAGCACCAGCGCGGGGAGAGAGGTGAGAATGAGCAGTGCCAGGAGAAAGTGCAGAGCGGCGACATGCAGCAAGACAGGCAGCAGCAGAAGCGGTGGAACAAGGCTGATATTGATCTTGACAGCCCCTGCAAACCAAGGGATGCGCACTCGGTCCGCAACAGCGTCTGCAATTCTTTCCAGCGCTCCCGGGGGCAGGGACTTGCATGTCAACCACCTGGTAGGGGGAAAAACAGACAACCATGCGCACAGGCTTTTTTCTCCTCCCTGCCTCACTCTACCCTTAAAAAGCATGTCATAAAGCAAGAAATTCAACCACTTCCCTGCTGACTCAGAGGAACTCTCACTCATTTCCCTCTTCCCTCTTTTACATGTGAAGTGGCAGGAAAGTTTCCCACGGAGAACCTTACACCTTACTCCATAAATTAAGCCTTCTCTATCTTCAGCTTCTGTCCTTCCACAAATGGAAAGCAAAGCCCCACCTCGGTGTGAAAGCTACAACATGTCGGCACCCTCACAAAAAAGTTGCCCGCAGCTTACGTGTGGGGCTCTGGGCAACGGGAGCAACACGCCCTGGTTCCCCTTTGGCTCCTGCACTACTTTTAGGAGGATTTTACAGCTGCAGCAACAGCTGGGCGCGGGCACTCAGGCTGCTAAACGAGGCGGCTTTCACGGGGATTGATCAGAAAACGCCGGAAAAGAGGGAAAATCCCCGCGGCGCCGCCCGCTCCCTCCGGGCCGGATACCGCCACGGGCCGTTACCTGTCGCAGACGGCGTCACGCTCCTGGCAGTTGCC